AGATATAGACAAGGCCACAAAGCACGAATCATCCTGAAATGTTGGATATCTAGCAATGACATGGCCTTTCAGCATGATAGTTAGCGAAAGAAGTGGTACAGGTAAAACCAATTTACTAGCAAACCTTGTTTTTGGAGATAAATGTGAACATATATATAAAAGACAATGAGAGGATCCAGATATATTAGATGCGATAATTTGATAGTTTGTGGATACCACCTGGATGAATCTAAATAGGCATTTGTTAGATATATATATAGACTAATTGCAAGCGATCCCAAAGTGCCATATTTTAAAAATATTACGTTCAGTTATATCTTACCTGAAAAAATCTCTAGCATAAAATCATTTTCACCTGAGAGAAGCACCGTAATCGTTTTTGAGGATGTATATATTGCACCTGAATCTATCCAAAATCAAATAATTCCATTTTTTACACATGGGCGTCATCGAAATATTTCTCTATGCTATGTTACTTAGAAGTACCATTATGTACCAATTATTATTCATGAAAACATCTTCCTTTTAGTACTATATAATGGGGAAACAGTTATCAAGATATCTCCAAGATAGCTGGCCAATATACTGATAATGTAAAGGGCACATCTATGGTTATTAACAGCTACCACCGTAAAGGTGAGTTTGTTGTATTTGATCTCAGTAGGCTAGAGGATTATTTTCTCGCAATTCGACTAAGGTTTGATATTCCATTAAACCTGCAGAAAGAGATAGAGGCAAGGCAAAAGCGCAAGGAAAAAAGTGCCTCACCTAATGAATAGAATTAGTCAAATTGTAAATCAAAACACCAGAGCTAAGATGATTTGTTTGTTCACAAACTTCCAAAGTGCTTAATTATATTACTGACCATAGATGAGAAAATCATAAGTAAATATACACTTTATAGATTTTTATTTCACATCGACGGTGGACAACTATAAAAAAATAAATTATTATAATAAATATATAACGCCTGCTTTGGCTGGCGGCGAATCCATGCTTTGGAAAATTTGGCACATATTCACAATTATTGTTTGAATCTGAGAAATCTATGTTAATTTCTTCTCCTTGGATATAAAGATATTTAGTTTCGAAATAGTTGATTTTTAGTGAATCACATGGATATGATTTGCCTACCATTTTACAAATGTATCGCCCATATTCTGAAATTCTAACAAAGTTTTCATTGCCATTGTTGGGGTATTTGACAATATGGTAATATTCGGAATTCGATAGCCACTTTAACATATAAGTCCATTCTGAATATTTAACGATTTTATAGTCTTGCCGATATAATTCTATAAAAGCAACTATATATAATACAAGACATAATCGATTATTTAGCTGTTCTTTTTTTCTTTCTATCCAGTTATCAGGAAGATAATATTCTTTATACTCTCTTGGTAATGGATAATTATATCCTTTATTTATCATAGCAATAATTTTAGCACTACGTAAATTATGTTGTTGACAAGTATAAGGATTTTTTATTTTTCGAAGAATGACATCTAAAAATTTCTTATCGTCAGGAATACCATCATTTCTCACCATATTCCAAATTTGTTTCGCCCATGTTTCAGGTCTCAACTTGTAATCTCTCCAAGCCCGTTGGATAATTTTTGCACTATTAAATAAGGAATAAGCAATTTTCTCTCTAAATCTATTGTCTGTATTATATACATAATAACCACGCTGTAGATATACAGAATAATTCATAAAAATCTCATTAACCTTATCAGAACTAAGTGATGATACACTTCTTCCTCCTTTTTTCTGAACAAGATTAGAATGTACGAAATATCTTTTAGCTATTTTAGCAATGCATTCATTCAGGTGATGATTGGCACATTCGATAGTATTTTCACAGATAAATACCAAGGTGTCACATACAGTACAATAAATATAAAATGAACACTTCTCAACCGTAAATCCCTATCTCTAGATCTTTCAGTCAAATAGATAAATCCATTCTTGGAAAAGTATTTTGGGTTATTTTCTAGAAGTGTTCTAAATGGATAACGAATACACGAACACCACATTTCAGGTGTTTCATTACTATACCTATATTGCAGATTGATTAATGCCTGTGATACGGCAGGATTCAAATCATTATAGTAGTTAGTTTTAACCATTTTTCAGGTATAGTGATAATACGTATACGTAGCAATTTCATTGATTTTATCGAATTATAGCAATTTCAATGACTTATAACGGTTTGTAACAAGTATATGATAATAAAATATCGGATTCATTTTTATTCGAAACTGGAAGATACATTGTGTATGCATATTTACAAAGAAGAGAAGGGAGCATATACTTCGTAGATTTTTTTTTCACATTGACACTTTTCTACCTGTTTCAGAATTAGATAAAAAAATATTAATATAAAAAATATATCACTCTGATATAGCATTAGGAAAACGGTGGATGACTACCTATACCTGTATCAAAAATTAATTTTATTTACATTTATATATATATTTTTTTCTGGTGGATATATTCAATCACTCTCTGTGGTGTAGTTCAGTTGTTTAGGAAGTCTGCGTCACCTTCTTCCTCACACATGCCCCACATCAAGGATGACGATCACGCCCAGGGCAAAAGAAAAAAAAAGTATATCTATTTATTTAAATTTTGAGGTAGATATATTCAAACTATTTCTTATCTTGTAGTTCAGTAGACTAACCACAGGAAGCTTATTTGGTCTTGCTAGTATTGTGAATGACTTAATAGGACTTAAAAAAATTTCTTTATTACATAATACGCATTTATCTAGTTCTGGAAATTTTTCATTTTTACAATAGGATCATCGAAATATTTTAGAATATTAAATGCGAGGTTTTTAAAATTAATAACAGATATTTTGTCCTGGGTTGCAGAAGCATTATTTTGTTCTGACATAATAGAAATTTTATATACTGAATGCAAGATAAGTTTTCATAACAAAATTCCTTATACTTAGCTTATTTATATAGTTTATTCTTCATGACTAATAAACCCTTGATTTATAGATTAAGAAAAAACTAATTTCGGGCTTGGCGATCCATTTATTCACAAATTAATTAGTATAGAGAGGGATCGCACGTGTTTTTGCGTAATTATATGCTATTTTAATCTTCTATTCATACCTCACCAATGACTCATAATGGAATTTTATCATGTAGAATGGGATGATGCTATAGTGCCCATCACATTTCGTAGAATCAGATCTGTAAATCACTGGCATAATTTCTATTCTTGTTCCATTCTAAGATCAGAGATATCAGATTGACTTGCGTAATACTAATTTAAAGATTTGTAATACGCGTACTATGCCAGAACATTCTAGAAATTAGTTGGTGGATTAATTATTCATTAATCTATTCTCTATAGATTTGCAAAAATACCCGCTGCATAACACAGGACGTAGTTAAATCACATGACCTCATCTGCGGGACAAGAGAAGCTAAATAACCCTTTTTTTCGAGCTTGCAAGAAAAAAATATATTTAAACTTAAAAGACTGTTATCTAGTACTGATAACTTTCTATATCTGGCTTTGAGTGATTTTATCACAAGAAGGTGGGGATAAGGTATTTTGGTATATTATCATTATAGAACAAACTTATTCTGACATTAGTACTGGTAATAAGATTTTGGGACACGAATTCTTGGAGGCTTTGGGATTATTAGATAATGAAGTTGTATCCGTCAATATGGATGATGATGACAATAGCGAATCTGATATCGACGAAGAAGATAGTGATGACGATTAGAACAATTATTGAGACTAGGACCCTAGAAAAAAATTTACTGGATAGGATTATCAAAGATGTTTTGGTAAAGATGTTTTGAAAAAGCTTTATCGAGACCGGGAAGCTCGTCAACATTTTATTCTTCTTAGGCTATTTACCATTTGCCTTCCTAATTTATCTGAGCAAGCAAAAAATAGATTATTTGTCACATTTTCTAGATCTAATTCATTTGAAGTATTAGAGCACAACGCATTATTGGATGCTCTAGCTCATCCTGTGAAAGGTTTAAATCTTTTTGAATACGATGAACTTGGGTTTGATTTAATAAACAATGTAAAATTGTAACCAAGCTTCTGGTGTTTTTAGATTATTAATATAGTTTAAATCATATTCGGTCAACATGTATCGAGTATAACTATTTTTTTCCCATTCTTTAAAAATATTTTGAATATTGTGTATATTTATATTTTGATTTTATTAACTAAAGCTTTTATTTAATAAGTATGAGCTGGACCAATCAATTTACTAGCAATTGTGAATAATTAGTGAAGAAAAGGGGAGTATACACTTTATAGATTTTTATTTCACTTCGATACCACCAATTTATAAGAAAAAAAATATTAATATAAAAATATATCTCTCAATTGTGATC